TGCTTAGGCGCTTAAGAACTAAGGCCTAAAAGGGAAAGTAATTATTAGACTTAATGCGTTATAAGCCTTAACGCTACTTACGCTAAGGCGTCGATATCGTATATACTACGTTAGAATTCCTTTTAAGATCCAATTTTAATAACGTATCTCGTATGTCTAGAGGCTTGGCGGACATAGATCTACTTCGCGTACCCCGGAGTTTTGATATTCCTTAGAGATTAATTCTACTATCAAATATACTATTAAATCTCATAACGACACTACGTCTTTTATAGTCTATGTTCGCTAGCTAACCGCCAGTAAACTACGCCCTTATAGCGGAGAAGATAATAATAATAAGTTTAAAGATACTTCGAAAGGAATAAATAAAGGTGAGAGCGATAACTTCGTATAGAGATTAAATAACTCGATATTACTCGAGGAATTAAGTATATTCTCGCTGGCCTCGAAATCGCTATTATATAATAATAGAGTAATCGAAGTAGAATAGAGACTCTATTACTCTTTATTAGAATTCTCGAGAATCTTATCGATATCGATTAAATATTATTTTTTAAGATTTAAATTCTCGTATAAGAAATAGAAAGTGCTTATGCGAGAATCTTCGAATAATATCGATAAGAGTGTTTTAATAAAAGATATTAAATAATAAAGACGATTTGATAACGAAGGTTGATTTCTAATAGAATTATACGGAGTGTAGTTATTATAGACGTATGAATCTCCTCCTTAGAGGGGGATTAATATCCTTCTTATACTACTCGTTTAGAAACTTAAAATTAGAACGCTCGTCTTGATGGCTGTTATCGTAAGACTGAGTTTAAGACTTCATAATCACGGTGATAGGATACTCGATTTTTTGTAGTGGGATTGAATTGCGACAGCCCTCTCGTCGGTGGTTACGAGCTAAAAAAATGGGCTTTCAGGCTGTTTTAGGCTGTCACAAGCTGCTCATAGGGGAGTGTCGAAATGTGGAGTTCCTAGCCACGTTTAGAGTTTCTAGCTATGTTCTCAGCCACCCTCTCCGCTATAACCTGTGCGTATATCGGCTATATCACTCTATTTCTATAAGGTTAAAGATATCCTCTAGAAGAATTTAGAGATAGAATTAATTATCCTTTCACATCACCGTTATTTATATTTCATTCTTTTTAATAGATTATAAGCCTAGAAGCGGGTAGAGTAGTATTAAATAAATACCCTTTATACTTTCTATTAGGATATTAATTAATATTGATATATAGTAATCTTATACCTATAGATACACCTTTATTATATTGCGACAGCCTATTTTTTTAACTTGTAACCACCGACGAGAGGGCTGTCGCAATTCAATCCCACTACAAAAAATCGAGTATCCTGTCGCCGTGACTATGAAGTCTCAAACTCAGTCTCACAGTGACAGCCATCAAGACGAGCGTCCTGGTTTCAAGTCCCTAAACAAGCAGCATAAGAAGGGTGCCAATCCCCCTCCAAATGGGCTATCGTAATATGATAAAGGTGTGTCTATAGGTATAAGATCACCGTATATCAGTATTGATTGATATCCTATTAGGAAGTGCAAAGGATAGATATTTGATATTGCCCTACCCGCTTCCGGGCTTATAACCTGTCAAAAAGAATGGAATGTGAATAACGGTAATGTGGAAGGATGATTAATTCTATCTCTAAATTCTTCTGGGGGATATCTTTGACCCCATAGAAATAGAGTAATATAGCCGATATGCGCATAGGTCATAGCGGAGAGGGTGGCTGGGAATATGGCTGGGAACTCTAAACGTGGCTGGGAAATGTGATAAATCTAACCTTTTTCTTGAATAGCTTTATTTTTCTAGTGACGATGCTTTATATAGCTACGTATATACTTATTTACTCGCTTTATAGAGTTATAAGACCGTATATTATCTTTCTTACGATCTTCTCTATACTCATTATCGCTCTTAAGACGAATAATCTCCGTAATATATCTTAATATTTACTCTATTTACTTCTAAATCCTCTTCTATATAAGCTTATAATTCTAGTAATATAATTATCGTTTCTCGATATCTTTACGAGTTCTTAATATATCTTTTCGAATAATTTAACGCTTTATTTATAATTAATAAAACTCGATTATATTAAGATTCGAAGAGTTATCGTATTAGATTATTTAAATAATATTTATTAATATATAAACTACTTTTTAATACTTTGATATATAGATCGAGATTTTATCTTTTATAACTATTATATTAAATCGCTCTCGTTTACACTTCTAAGCGAATTTTAGAAGCTTTAAAATAAGAATCTATATCTGATAAGAAGAAGAAGTGTGAGAAATATGAGCGTATATATCTTTTTCTGATAGCGATATCAATTAATTTCCTCTTTCTTTTCTTTAATAATAACTTTTCTAGTCTTAATAGTAAACTTTCACTCGAGTTTCTTACTAGAAAGATTTCGTAGATCTATTCGTCGTATATTAGTCTTAAGTTCTTAAGCTTCTTTAGCCTTAGCTTCTAAAGTATTATTAATTTTAGCGAGATTCGTAATATATTCTTTCTTTTTAGCTATAGTTTCGACTTTTTAAATATAATACGGCCTCTTCTTATTATATAAGAAATAATCTTAGAATATAAACTCTATAGTATCTACGAAACGACGTCGTATAGTAGATTTAATAAAGATTTCATTGAGTTGCCGTTATATATATACTTTTCTCCGTCGAGAATTTAAGATTATACTAGTTTTATTACTTTAAATTACTTTTTTTACTTCTTTATAATCTAGTCTTAATATTATAAAGCGAATTAATATTAAGCTTTTATTATAGTTTTCGTAAGAGAGAGTTTTTTAATAATCTTATAGGATCGAAAATTATTTCGTTTAAGTATACGTAGAATTATTATTAACGAGAGTTCTTATTTAGTAGTTAATATAAATGAGATTTTCTTATAGTTATAGCGATCTCTTCGTATAGCGACTATAATAGTACTCTTAACCTTGAAAATAATAATTAGAGGTTATCTAGATCTCGATATATTACTCACGTATAATAGTAGTAATTTCTAAGATTTACTAGAATTAAATTCTCTAATATAGACTTATTTCTATAAATAACTAATAGTAAAGCGAGAGATCTTAGTAATAGTAATAATAATTTAAGTTATAATGCCAGCTTCGGTTAAAGTAAGTATCTGAAATTTAATATCGTTATTATAATTAATAGCTTAAGCTTTATTTATAGATATTTTAATATAGAGAATATAGAGAGGATTGCTTCTTATAGCTATATTAAAAACTTTATATATAATATAAAGTCTTAAGATTCTCCCCCTTTTCTCGTAGACTAATACATTTAGTATTAACGTTATAATTCGATAAATATACTCTTTATATATAGCTATAACGTCGCTATAACGCGTATATACTTCGTATATATATACTCTATATATATATACCTCGTATATATAGTATTAACGTCGCTGTTAAGTAAAAAGTAGTAATATTAAGAATATTTAAAATATTCAGAATATTTGTCAAGCATACCAAGAGTTTTAGCGTATATGTAGGACTTTTGGTGCCACCCTCCGTAGATACTGGTCTCTCGGACACGGAAAAGCCGGGCCTAAAACCTTCGGCTTCAGAGCTCAGCGCCCATGCTCTGTCTCTTCCCTAAATATGTGCTGGGGCGCGGGCTACCCAGTAGTGAAAAGCTAGCCAAGCATTGTGGGAACACTGAGAATATCGCTACAATTGAATATGTTTACGGTACTGCATTTGATTGATTCTCCGAATCCTCCCTATAACGATATCTAAGAAATAGATTATATCGTCGGTTAATCTTAGAATATATAAGATTCTCTATAGTCTCATAATTATCGTAATGAATTATAGTAGATATTATCGAGTAAACCTATGTGTTATAATTAAATATTAATCATTCTAAGAAAGCTAAGCGAGACTCGTTCTGTATTTAAGAGTATACGTTCTTGAGAGCGTTAAGTAACTACTCGTAACGTATCCCGTCGTCGTCATCCTCGTTATTCTCGTCATCCTCGTTCTTATTATTCTTATCCTCGTTGTTCTTATCTTTACTCGTAGTAACGATATCGATAATATCGTTATATAGCTTTAGAATAGTATTATATTCGTAGAGAATCCGAGTATCTTTTAGCTATTCTATCGTACTCTGAAACTCTTTATCTCGCTCTATTTATTAAATATAAATAGAATTCTTCGAATAATAAGTATCGTAGTCTTACTAAGTAGAAAGATTATAATCTCGATATAAATTCTATACGTTAAAGGTTAAACGTTATATAGAATCTTAATAGCGAAATTTAAGATTATTATATCGATAAGAAGAATTAGAGAGAAGTCTAGTAAATAATTTATTAAAGTCTTCGAATATATATTAAAAAGATTTATAAGGTGTTATAGGCTAAGATTAATAGCGTATTATTATATTATAGAGTGTAGAATCTCGACGTTATTATAGATTTTATTAATTTCTCTAAAATTATAGCTGATTTTAAGAGCGTAATTGCGAGAGGGCTAAATTTTATGGATTTCTCTAAAATTATAGCTGATTTTAGGAGCGTAATTGCGAGAGGGCATACTCATTTTCCTATTATTAACGCTTTTTTTGATAACGATTCGCAGTACGTATGATAGTAGAAGAAGAGGTATTATAATCGAAAAGAGTTAACTGAGACATAATTTGTAGAGACAGAATTCTTTTAGAGAAGAAATGGAGAGAGACGGAGATAAAGTTGAGATTATTAATAAAATTTGATGTTCGTAGTCAAGAAATTTAGTTACTTCCCGAATAGGTACCTGGTTTTCTCGATTTAGATCTTGGCAGTACTTTTCAAAACTTGTCGACAGGAAGAAAGCTAGCTTTCCAATCATTCTCTACGTTACACTTGCTGTCAGCTTTGCTTTACAAGAAATTTTCTGTTTCCCTGCCAAGCCTTTTCTATTTGTTATCCCTTATACTTAACGGAGTGCTTCTCATGTTTCAAGTACCCTCACGCATTGGTCATGCAGTCGCGGGCCACCGCCAGTCAGCTGCTTCCTGGAAGTGCGCCCGCTCTCCAGCTTGGAACGTGATTCAGATGCAAGACTGGTGCTTCTCCAACATGAATACTAGATGGGCGGCTGCTTCCGTAATTGTGCACTCTTTGACCACGTTGCGTGGCTGACCTGACTTGCAGACGGCTGCTAGACTGAAAAATCCAACTCTCTTCCGTGAGAAGGCATATATCGATGGCCAATGGCTTGAGTCAAAGTCAGGCTCAAATTTTGATGTCATGGGTGCCTCGAGCTGCACCTGAGGATATTGATGTGTTCTGATGTATCATAGATCAAGCAACAAGTACGGATTTGCTGTTTTCATTCCCGAGGTCATAGCACCCCACGCAGTCGTTTTCACGCTTCACCCGGTTTCTGTTGGCTCGCAGGTTGAACGACGGGCCGACGACATATTCGGGGACGGCCTTATATCGTTCAGGAATCCTGGATCGCTTCGTCTCCATGCCGATGGCAGCGGTGGCGGATTCGGCCGCCATCACAAGGGCAACGATGTTTAGTTGTGAAGGGTCGGTGAGAAGTCTGGGAACGCTCGCGGAAAGCAGGTCACCGCCAAATTCTACGATGATAATATCGTTATCGACGGACAGGTCCCGCACCTCGCGATGGCCGGAGGCCTGCCCTACAAGCATAAGTTTTTCGTATGTGATGCAGAAGGTCTGAAAAACGCGTGTGGGTCCGCCACCCAAAACACTATTATTGTTGTTGCTGTTGATAGTTTGGTACGGAAGACCTTGCACATTTGTCCGAGAGTCCTCAAGAATTGAAGAGTATCTTCATGAAATTTCTCGATTAACATGGCGGGCGCCCCGTGGGATGACGAGTGAGGTAGAAATCAGGGCTTCCGCCAAACTTGGTCCCGAAAGTTGTATGAGAATTATGAATCGCTCACTTATTACCTTCTTTTGATAGTTCAGGGCATATATGCCGGATGCGACCCTCACTTAGACTAGCTCTGTAGACCTCGCAGCACATTCGAATGCTCCAGTCAACCTTTCCAACCATTATTTTTGTGTCAAGTGAATTTCTCGCAACCTCTGAGATGTTTCAATGCATAAAATCGAAGCAACGAAGAAACAGTCGGACAAAATGTCGATGTGCAGCTCACGGCGTGTCAAGAGTACCTGCGAGAAGGCGACGACGTATTTATCGTAATGCGGCTGGAAACGTTTGGCCGCGTACCACCGCACATCTGTGCAACATCAGCGAAAAGACTATTCTTGCGAAGAAGACTTAAAATTGCAAGTGGAGTAGGAAGAAAGTTGGAGTGCGCGAGACTCTTTGGAAGACATCAGCCTCCGGAAAGGACGTTAGATGGTACCCTTCGAACGACATTCTAGAACGGGACGATGTCACGATATGGCAGGCAAATGCTCAGTGCCAAATGAATTTCTTTGTTTTTGTGTCTTCAATCCAATATGAAGTCCGACGTGTACGGCCCAGAAACTTTCAACTGTGGAACTCATGTGATTCGCGTCCTGAGTTCGACAGATAAGTTGCAGATGGAAAGCACGGTCTACGAAGAAGACCTTTGTAGATGACGATGAAAAAAAGGACTGGTATGCTAATTCCTACAACTTTCTGTTTACAGCTGTTCCCGACCGGGCATCACTTGTGTGACAGGATGTCTGCAGAGCCCTCCAGAAAAGATGATGGATATAGGGTGCAAGGTTCCACCTGGGTAGAAATAAGAAGGCGAAGCGGCTGAATGATGACGGTGCTGTGCTGATTGTTGACATACCTGGCGGTCGCGGACGTGACCTCGAAGCTTTCAGACAAAAGTTCCCTGATGCAAATGGGCGGATGACAGTTGCAAGACCTGCCACCCCCTCAGGTCAACCATCATCTCAAACCCCGTTAGAATGGCACGGCTACTTCCTCCATTTCGTCCTGTATGACTGGCCTGATGCCCTCGCCACCCAAAGTTCTCACACACATCGCCTTGGCAATGGCACCCGGATACTCAAAGCCCGTTCTTGGCGAATTCATCCTGCCAAACACGGGCGCACCGTTTCTAGCTTCTGGGTTCGATTGGCAGATGATGGTGCTGCATTCGGGCATGGAGCGGTCGCAAGGGCAATGGAGGGAGCTGATTAAGGGTGTAGGGCTGCAGATTGTTGGTTGCTGGCAGGGAAGGGAAGGAGGGGAGGGCATCATTGAGGTAGTCAAAGAGGATTCGTCTTAGAGGGATACAGATTATATAATGAAGGAATGTGTTCGAAAACGTGACTACATGACCGTGTTGGAAACGTCGACCCGACTTTATGCTAGAGAGAGAAATATATTAATGAGCAGCGCGTGAGCGCGAGGAAAAAAGATGGACCTCAAGGAAATGTGGAAGTTCAAGAGTGGCGGCGTTCAGGACTGATTGTGTTGACAATGTTCCCAGTCAAGATGGAATGAAAGAAAACCACGAGATTCAACGCTGACTCCGTTCATGTTGAGGTACGTTACCCAAGATGCCTGGCATTGTACATGCCGCTTCGCCTTTCAAAAGTGATCTTGATCGCCGATAAGGCGAGCGAGGATGAGCGGGGTGAGTGAAGGCGATTGGGTTCCACTTTTAAGCGCTCAGGTACATAAAAAGGGCACTTATCGAATAAGACCCTCTTCACTCTCTCCTTCTTCTGTCTTCGTCCTCAGAACTGTACGATCCCATTCGCTCCTGCACCTTCTAAGCTGGTTTTGGTTCCTAGAATTATACTATTCCTATAAGCCAAAATGAGCCTCACAAGGTCAACAGTCTCACTGTGAAGCGGGGTCGCTCCTTTGTTTACGACCAGTTTGATTGAGAAAACTATTTCCGGTTATATTGACAAAGGCAAGCCAGCTCGCTTGAAGGCATGGTGCAGCGCCTTCTTACTACGATAAGGGCGACCATGACGAGATCACTAAGAACTTGAGATCGTGATGTAAGAGGTGGTGATCCATTGGTTCAAAGAAGGGAGGTACTGCTCCTCCGCAAGCGTAGTCCCGTTAATTTGATGATACAAGTAGCTCTCCGTTTGGTTAGCTAAAGTAATACTAGCAAGTCTCCTGAAAGGGAATGGACCAACGGGGGCAGTGTTCGTGGCGGGATTGAAGTTGATGACGACTGGCCGTGTGCCATTAACCCAGATTGCAAATAAATAGCCAGGCGGACTAATCATCACGAGGTCAGATTCGATAAAATTGCTGTTTTCGAAGTTGACCTGATTTGATGTGGTTGATGTCTCCCATCCTAATGGATTTGTTAACTTGACGTTTAATTTACATATGTTAGGGTTCTGTAATAGGTATTACGAACCCGAGTAGAATTTTCCATAGCTGGCATTATTCCACGAAGTGTATTCGGACGTCAAGAAGGAAGTAGAGTTGTAGTCGTAGAAAAGCATCTGCACATCTAATATACTTTGATTCAGGAAAGGGGTCGGTGCGCTGGCAAACGGGGCTCTGAGTGTAGTTCCTCCATTCGTCTCGTACAATGTGCTGCTGAAAGTTTGATTGAACCTACCAATGAAATAGATGGGCGAAAACCCGAAGCGCGCTTCCGATTTGTTGTTTGAGGTGATATCAATCCAGTGAGACTTTGTACCCAACCCAAGCTTAAGACATGTGAGAGCGATGGCATCGCACGGATCTGTAGCAGCTCGTGCCACTCTCAAAAGAGCGGACACGTCGCCATGCAGATTCTCGTATAACAAGAGACTCTGATTAACAGTCTCATTTGCAGCAACAGTTCCAGTGCTGTTGGTTGACGTAACTGATAGTTGCCGCGTACTCGGGAATGTAGTGTAATTTGAGAGATCCTCACTAGATTGCCACCAAATACCGTCGGTATACGTTCTTGAGCTGAGACGATTGCTGACCGAAATATAGTAAAGATGAAGCTGAGTTGCTGAAGTCAGTAACAGAAGTATTCTTGTATCTCTCAATGTATAACTTACACTTGTGCTAACATCTTGTTCCACAACATCAGCCGCTAAGGGTGTCAGATATCTCGCGTCCGAGATACCCGTTGGGTTTGTCTTTACAATCCATTGATCTTCCGAGGCTGCGTAAACAACTTGCTGAATATCCCCTTTGATATCCTGAAAGAATACATGTCTATCGCCACTATTCATATATATTGCTGCAAAAGAAGTATCGTTGAGGATTTGTTGCGTGAAAGAGCTATTTACAGGATGTGCAGACGCCGTGGGACTTGCTGTGTTCATTGAAATCGGCCCCCCTGAGGGTCTTGCTTTATAAGTAAAGAATTGTCCTTATAGCATCAGATAAATACGTACCTGGCTGTAGCTGAAGAGCTAGGATAGGCTCTCGGAGATTTTCGGAGTCCAACACCGAGCCCAACGGCTAGTGCCATAAGAAGCAACACGGCCAGGGCCGCGAAAGCAAAGTTTTTCCGCTTTAAGAAAATAGTTTTTCGAAGTGTAGTCGAAGTCTCTGGCTGTTTGATATCGCCATTGACGTTAACAGCCTCTGGGGGCGATTTGTTGTAAAGGACTTCGAGGCCCTGCTCCGGGAGCGTCTAGGTTGAATTAGATATGTTATCACCGTAGCACCTCTCTACTTACCTCGGGTGCTGAAGGAGCAGAATCAATCTCAGGAGCAGTTTCAAGTTGGGCTTGAACGTTCGCAGCAGGGACAGGATAGGGTTCTGGCGCTCTTGCACTCTCGTCATTTTGGAAGAGCTCCAGGGTTGAAAAAGTGTCTTGGACAATGTGGAGCAGTGCCATTTTTCAGATTGACGCTCGAATCTGTTGTTGTGCTCCGTGATGGGACTGGATTCAAGGATAAGTTAGAAGATGTGAAATGTAGGAAATTGTGGGGCGGATTTCTTCCCACATGCTCAGCTTTTGGACAGATATGGTAAATGAAGTGTGCTGCATCCTGCAGGCCGTTCGATTGCATGTCTCCGCCTCGCTGCTGCCAAAGCTGCTGCATATCCCCTTGGGCTGAAAACAGGCGGATGATCGGCCATAGCAGGAACTCCTGATGAGACCTGGTACTAGTACACAAGACCGTTACCGAATGCAAGCAGAGAAAAGAAAGCGAGATGAGAGGTCGAGACGTTCAGGACAGGTTGTCGGACTGTCTGTGAATTGTCTATTGCCTCATCGATAGCCGCTGCAGCTTTCCTTATTCAGCATTGAAATAAATCCTTCGCGCCCTTTATTTTTAGGCAATTAGATCCGGATTCATTTCCCTCAGTGATTCTCGCGCGTAAAGTCATGTGTAAACCTTGTAATTGGTGAAAAGCAGTATCAGCTCATGCAGAGCACGTCTCAGCCTCGCGCGATATGTTTTATTTACAAGCCACCTCCTACACGCACCCTCGCCTCACCCTTTAGACTCACTCTTACACCCTCGCCTCACCTTTTCAGGGTAATGTTGAGAGCGGCGAGAGGTACCTTACTCGATGAAGGCATGCCAGAAGAATAATTATCCACGATTCCACGTTATCCAACAGCGACGACGTGCCAAGCATTCTCGATCGGGCTAGCGTTCCCGGTGGGCCTTGGCATGGCACAGAAAAAGTGATACCCAGTCGCACCAGTCCTCAAAATTCCATCAAAATCAACATCAACGAGGAACGTTTCTTCCGCGCCAGATTGATCTTGAATAACATGTTCTCTTGAGTCGTAGATCACATTCGACGTCAAATCGTGAAGGAGTCAATTCATCGAACGGCTACTTGTTTTGACAGCTTGCCCGATGGCCGGCGGACTATGTATAGTTCTCAACCACCAACTGGATTTACTATTTCTGCAACGAGCAAGACGGTACTCTTAGCATCATGTATCAATGTCGAGATGCTGGTAATCCACTGCCGTCAGGCAAACACTTGCAAGATGTATATGCGGCGGTTTGAGGCAGCTACTCTTATGCCAATGAGTGGATATGCCATAGAAAGTCCGCTACATGCTTCTTGACCTGCGCAGTGCCCGATTGATACGGTGCTAAGCCACCTCACTCTGCGTATTGGAGTTATCTGATATACAACTTGTGATTCTCATGAAGAGGATACAGAGCAGACTCCTAACAATGCTTCACAACTCCTATACCTGCCTTTATGCCATTCTTTTGCTGTTGCTAGCTATACAACCACTGAAACGTTTGTCCCGGCTTGTTTACCTCGAGAGCTTGTAGTTATCAATGAGGATGTCTCGAGATTTCGTAAAGGACGCAATCACTCCCCCGACAAGAATCATTTCGGCCATTTCTTCCACCCACGGCCATGGCCCTTCTGTAGATGTCGTCAGCGCCGTCCCACAGCACCGTAGCTTGAGGTAATGCTTACCTGTTTCCACTCCTGTACCAACTTGGGCATCTCCAACATAGCCTGCCTCCTCTTCTCCAACCTCCCCTTCATCGTCCTCTCCCACAGCTTTCCTTTCACCTTCTGCCCGACCCCTGTCCCCTTCACCCTCAATCCATGCTTCACCCTCCTCTGTATTCTCTCTTCTGTGCCCTTGGTTGTGTAAGGTAATAGCTCTTCAATTCCATTGGCTCGTGCCATCTTCACTAGATCCGCTTGCCGCCGCAACGAAAAGACTGGGTTGTGCCATTTGCCGGTAGCTGGGTGCTTTTGCGATTGGAACGGGTTCGGATAAGGGAGTGATGGGGGGGAATCTGAGATGGTATTCTCTTCTCGACTGGCATTTGGGTCGGAGGAGGAGGTGCTAAGGGAGGTGGACATTGAGGATGTTGGGGCGCGGTTGGCGAAGGAGGATGTAGGGGGAGGGTAACGGGCGAAGAATCGTAGCAGTCGTGGCGGGAGAGACTGTGCGAGCTTTACGTACTCTTGAGAAGCCATGGCTGTGAAAAAGAAAGAGAACGCTGAAGCCCGAGACTAATCACAGTCGTCCACCAGCTTGGCCGTCGAATCTCAATATGGGGATAGATCTCCCCCACGCTAGCAAATTATTTAGCGTATCCTTTAAACCCACTAGGTTTCTTGGCATTGGGTCTGACAGTACGGGCTAAGTCCCGGCGGCGTGCCAGCAAATCCTGGCGCTGGAACAACCAGATTTATATCTTTTCATCGACTGATATTATGATAGTCATCGCTTTTGAGAATACATTTTCTTTGGCGCGATTATAGAGAGCATCGGAACCTCTAGATCTGTCAGCAAAGTTTTCCTCACGAAAGCCCTCATCGTGCAGCTGTATCGGAGGGCCGCGGTTTTCACGCCGCAGGGTACTAGATACTCGTTTCCACCCCCATTTGCACGTTACCCCTATTTGCACGCTCTTAAATCCGATAAATCCGATATAGATAGCTACCACTACTATGGCTACCACTATTACTCTTTTAAATAACTTACTATTATAGTCTATTATAATAGCCAATACTATAATATTATAATCACCGTCTATAGATCTAATATAATAGATATTTCTATTCTAAACTCAGATATAGTCTATTTTTATCTTAGCGATATATATATCTAAGTAGTATTCGATATTTCATCTAGACTATATAATGTAATAAGATATCTATTAAAAATACTATAAATTTTCTAACTAGTAACTAGCTACGAGTTATACTATATCTTATTATAAGTACTAGTCGAAAAGATATAATATAATATAAAATATTAATCTACTATATTATACTCTAATATAATATAAGTTATTAAGATTTATATAATCTCATATCTAATATAATATAGAATCTTAACGAAATATTTTACGATATAATATATCTGTAATATTATATTATGAAATAATATATATATGAAATATCTCGATTAGGATTTCTATATTTAGAAGTAGATATTCTAATTATTATTTTAGTTAATAATTACGCTAAATTAATAAGATATAGAATTAAATATAATTATATTTTATTACTTTATATATATGAAAGAAAGCGAGTTATATCTATTAATAATAAGAAAAGCTTATTTTCCTTTAATATTAGTTACGCGAAATCCGCTAACACTTCGTAATTAAAGTTATTAATAATAATTTTATATATTTATTACGTATTTTTAATATCGCTATCTAATATAAAATTATACGTATTATAATTATAGCCTTTTTATTAAATTATCGATCTAGAAAAATTAATATATTTCTTAGTATTCTCTCGAAAGTATCGTAGTTTAATATAATAAGTTATATTTTTTTAAGCTGTCTTCTCGCGATATATAAAAAAAGATTAGATATAGAAAGTATATAAAAGTATATTTAATGATTCTAGAATAGATTAACGATACTTATAATAATAATTAGAATTAAGAATTAGATATACTTAAATAAGAGATAGCTTTATATTACTCGTATAATAGCGATAATAATAATTAAGATTAAAATATTAATTTAGATAACGTAACTTTTATAGTAAACTTTTTATTATTATACGCTAGATTAATTACGTATAAATAAAGATTTATAATTTTATCTTTTAAATATAATTACGTTTAATATTTTAAGATTTTTATAATAGCTCGATACTTATTAATTAACGCGTTAATATTATTATATCTAAGCTATAATAGCGCTTATTATTAAGTTCTATATTACACTTTTAAATAGTTTAAAAAATAAGATTTATTTAATTATTAGCGCGTATAGTAGAATTATTTTTAATACTTATATCTTATTTAGCTTCGATATTATCTATTTTCTTTTAATTTAAGCTCTTATCTTTATCTATATATATAATAATTCACGCGATAAGCGAAACTCTAGACTTCTTTATAATTATACTCGCGTACTTTTTTTATATAATATTATTAAAATATAAGTCTATTAGAATAATAATTAGAATTAGAGATTACTTATTATTTATTTATTATATCTTATCTAATTTATTTAAAAGCTTATTTTTATTATAACGATAATATATTAATATATTTAACTTTACGCTTTTTAATAGTTATAGCGTAGTTAATAGCTAAGATATCGACTTTCTTTACTTTTTTAATTAGTTTCTCCTTAAATATAAATATATTTATTCGCTATCGCGATCTTTTAGTATTTTTATTTTAATTAAGTTTATTTTTTGCTTTTTATTTTAGCTAAGAGCTTAGTTATTATCTAATTAATCTATATTAAGATTCTTTAATATTACTATTATTATTAGTATTTAATATTTATTATAGTAAATTATTAGACTTAATCTTTTCTACTTTAATTACTATAAAAAGATAAATTAGTAAATATATATAAAAGAATTAAAGGGCTTATACGGATATCTATAAATATTAAGCTATTCTTAATTTTAATTAAAGCTTATTTTATTAAAAAGTGCGTTAATTCTAATAAGTATCGATATTAGAAATAAAGAGGATATATATTATACGCTATTATAAGTATATTATTATAGAGTTTAATTTAAAGAATAATTATTTTTATAAAGATAGTAAGACTTAAAAATAAGAAAGTAAGAACGAAATATACGAAAATTTTAATAAGTTATAGTAGTTTAGCGTTAGTTAAATTAGATAAAGATAATTACTTATTAACTCGCTCTTTTAAATCTTTTATCTTTTAATTTATATAGATTATAATAATAATTATAATTATTATAGAAGTAATTAAGATTATATTAAATAATAACGCTTAATAAATATAATTTACTTAAACTTAAATCTTTAAAATTAAAGAAAAAGCGTTTTATTAATATTTAATTTAAGCTAGATAATATAAAGTAATCTAAAAATTTAATATACGCGATAGATATCTAAGCTTTTCTTTCTCTCTCTTTCTTCTCTAAGACTTTCTTTTTTATATTAACTTTTCTTATTATTAGACTATCTTCTTTATATATTAGACTTCTATTTAAATAATCTAATATTATTATAATAATATTAAAAGTATAATATAGTCGTTAAGTTATATATTTATTTTTTATTTTTTAATAATTTTAAGCTAATATATAGATAGATCGCGTAAAGAGCTTAATTTATATACGCTTAATCTATTATTAATAAATCTTCGAAAAAATTAATATTATTCTAGAGTGCTAGATATAGCGTTAAAATAAAGTCTTTATTAGATATTATTATCGCTTTAATCGCTATCGTTATTACTTTAATAGATATCGCCTTTATTTTAATAGTATTAAAGCGTCGATGAAAATTAGATAGTATATTCTTCTAATTATTATTATACTTATTATATATAATTAACGCGAGCTATAACTTAAGCTTTACGCGAGATTTATTATTATTAAAAGTTAATTAATCTTATAATCTTAAAGCTTTTCTTCTAATATTTAATTCGTTAAATTATACTTAATTAGAATTTATTAAAACGCTATTATATTTAAAGATTTACTTTTAAAGTATTATATAAAATAATAGAAGTCTTTCTAGTTCGTTAATTTAAGAGTAAGCTTTTCGTTATTACGCTTTATAATTAGCTTTAATAATCTTTATTTAAATAGATATTTATCTTTATATAATATATAAAAAGCGAATTATATTATAGAAAAAGAATCTAAATTTTATAATTATTTTAGTTAAGCTATTTAAAGTAAAGAGAAGAATATATTTATCTTTAATTATTAAATTAGTTAATTATTATAAATATAATTATAAAATATAATTACGTATTATTAATTATTTTAGTAATTATAAAAAGTATAAAAGAAATGAAATTATATAATTAAGTATTTATAAACTTTTCTCTTCTAAGTATTTATTTTAATTTAGAGTTTAATCGCTATCTAATTAAAAAAGGGTAAGATATAAAAAATATATAAAAGTATATTTAATAATTCTAGAACGAATTAACGATATCTATAATAATAATTAAAATTAAGAATTAGATATACTCGAATAAGAGATAGCTTTATATTACTCGTATAATAGTAAAAGTAATAATTAAGATTAAAATATTAATCTAGATAGCGTAGCTTTTATAATAGATTTTTTATTATTATATATTAAATTAATTATATATTAATAAAGATTTATAATTTTATCTTCTAGATATAATTATATTTAATATTTTAAGATTTTTATAATAGCTTAATATTAATTAGTTAGTATATTAATATTATTATATCTAAGCTATAATAGAGTTTATTATTAAATTTTATATCGCGCTTTTAAGTAGCTTAAAAGATAAAGTTTATTTAATTACTAGCGCGTATAATAGAATTATTTTTAATATTTATATCTTATTTAGTTTTAATATTATTTATACTCTTATAATCTAAGCTTTTATCTTTATCTATATATATAATAATTTACGCGAAGAGTAAAACTCTAGACTTTCTTTAAATTACGCTCGCGTACTTTTTTATATAATATTATTAAAATATAAATCTATTTATTAGAATAATAACTAGACTTAGAAGTTATTTATCGCTTATTTATTATATTTTATTTAATCTACTTAAGAGCTTACTTCTATTTTTCTATTAAGTCTATTAATTAGATTAAAGTTTATATCTTATTTTTATATAAATATTTAATCGCGTATTAAATAATATTTTATTATTTAAGACTTTTAAATATAATCTAGCTAAGAAAAGAATCTATTATATAAAAAATTATAAATTATAATATATATTTTTATAGCGATAGAGAATTCTAATTATCTTTTTAATTATCGTTATTTAAAGATAACTATAATAGCGAAAAATATTTATATTCTTATTTTTAATCTAGAATTAGAATTACGTAATTAGCTTATTAAAGTTTTAAATTTAAATAATCTATACTCTTATAGAGGCGCTTAGATCGCTTAAGTATATTAGCGATATTCTTATATATTAATTTAATATTAATAAACTTAAAAGTCTCTTATATCTCTTCGCTCGCCTTATTAGATATAAATCTATATCTTACTATATTATAATTCTTAGACTATTATTTAGTCGATTCTAATAGTAATATTTATTCTTTTTTATTCTTAAGCGCTTATACTGTATAGTTTCTAAGAACTACGCATTTTATTTTAGTAAAAAATATATATAAGTGTTAAGGAATAGTTCTTAATATCATAATATTGGTGTGGTGTAAAGTTATTCTATTAATCTATGTGGTCTGCAGGCACATATGTGCGGAGGGGAGGCGCGCTAAGGCCTAATTGGTACTAGTGGCCCTATGTGAAGGATTCTCCGTAACAAGTGCCCACAAAAAACAGAGAAAGGCCATGTCCTCATGGCAAGAAGTATGCATGCATGATTTTTCGAATGCCGGAAAGAAATGGAGACACCGTGCCAATTAGTGGTGTGAATCCCATGAAATCTCCTGCCGCAGTGAAAACCTTTGAATAATGAAATGACTGTCAGAGCAAGACATCAGACGGTTTCAATTCGTCCAAATATGTATTGTCTGATGTCCTCCTGCAGAGGCCCAATTGGCTGTGATCGACGCAGTAGATCCTTCTCTTGTGTGCTCATTGCAGTGATGTACCATAATGTGATATTGCCCAGGCATGTGGAGATAGTAGGCCAAATCGTAGTGGTGTTCTCCGCTTGCTGAGTGATGATTTGACGCGGGATCGTGGAGAGCTGAGCCATGTCTTTGACGATGGTGGCCTTGTTGCCGCTTGGTTTCTCCGCAGTGTTCTCCGCAGTGTTCTCCGCAATTGCCTGTAGTGTTTCCTCCTCTTATTCAACTGGGTGCTCTGGCTGAGTGATCGACTGAGTGACTGGCTGAGTAGCTGGCTGAGTGGCTGACTGAGTGACTGGCTGAGTGACTGGCTGAGTGGCTTGCTGACGAAACTCATTGCGTAGTTGATTCATTTCAGTCCTTAGCATACCCATTTCAGTTCTTATTTCGGTTTTGAATATGGCCATTTCAGTTCTTAGTATACCTTGAAACAGAGCCATTATGCCCTGAAGCTGATCGTTCGAGATGCCGGGGATAAGTGGGCTAGAGGTAGACATAGTGATAGCCTATTGAAAGGTTCACTTGCTTGTATGCTTGCGTATAGTGACTCTGCGTAACAGGCTGAGTGCTAATAGATGAGCGATGAGGGGGTAGTGTTGACTGCTTGCGTATAGTGACTCTGCGTGACAAGCTGAGTGCTGATAGGTAAGCGATATGGATGTTGAGGTAGGTAGAGGCGTAGCGTGACTGGCCAGCACTATGGATGAGCGAATAAAATCAATAGACTCCTGTTGAGTAATCTTCAGGTGTTGCTACCATTTGTTAAGGAATAGTTCTTAATATCATAATATTGGTGTGGTGTAAAGTTATTCTATTAATCTATGTGGTCTGCAGGTACATATGTGCGGAGGGGAGGCGCGCTAAGGCCTAATTGGTACTAGTAACCCTATGTGAAGGATTCTCCGTAACAATAAGAAGAGAAAATAGTAAATTTTTTTAGATTTTATAATTGAAGGTAATTAATAAGTAAGTTTAATATAAGTAAGATTAATATATAAATAATAAGTCTATTTAAATATAGATTAGAATATTAAAATTAAAATTAATATAGAGAAAAATTTATATTAATAAATATTATTTTAGCGATTTTTTTTTAAGAAATTTTTTATAAGTTATATAAGACTTTTATGTAATAAGAATAAATATTCTTTTAAGAGTCTATTATATCTTCGAAAATTTTTAGATATTTAATTTTCTTTCTAATAGATTTAATTATAATTTACTATACTCGTTACTATAGTAAGAAAATATCGATAAATACTTCGATTTTTTATACTTATATCTTTTCTATTAACATTATTATAAAATTTATATTCTCTAAAAGAAGTTAAGAGTTTTTAAATCGCTTAATCTTTTAATTAATAATATTTAATTATATATCGATAATTATATCTTTATTTTCTTTCTTTATATCGAGTTACTTATCGCGCTCTATATTAATATTCTTAATAAAATCTAGAATTAAAATTATATTTAGCGAATTTAATCGTTTATAGAGTTTATTATCTTCGATATAATATATAAAATATTATATATAAATACTAGTTATAATATTAGAAAGATATTAGAATAATTATAATAATAATTAGAATTTATAATAAGTATATTAATTATATATAATATATTTAATAATCTTTTTTTTATTTTCTTTTTTTCTTAGAAGTAGTTATTTAATATTTAAAGAAAGTTAAAAGTTTTTTCTTAGCTATAAATTTCGCTATTATATCTATATTATTTTATTTTCTTAAAATTACTTTTAATAATTTATATATATTTAAACTTATTAAATATTAGCGCGACTTTACTATATTCTTATTTTTAGAATATTTATCTATTATTTTTCGCATTTTACTATTATTTAAGTTTTTAAGATATTTTTATTTTTTTAGAGGTAATATAATAGAGTGAATTAGAGTTATTGTCTTTATTAATAATATTAGCTTTTATAATATTAAGAAATAATAGAAAATATATAAATTTATTTATTTATTTATTTAATTAAACTCTTATTTAAGATAGTTATAATAATAATTTTTATATAAAAAGTTTATTATAAGATATTAAAGAATATATTATAAAGAGTATATTAGTATTATAATAGAAATAATAAGAAAATTTAAGTAGAATTATATTATTATAGAAGGTAATATAATTAGAAAAAGTATTAGAAAAAACTAGAATATAAGAAAATTTAAGAACGCGTTATTAAAAAAATAGGCTAGTTTACTAGCGCGTTTTCGCGTTTTTTTAAAATCTTATTTATAAAAATATTTAATACTAATTTTCAATATTATAAAGTCGGATTTTAATCGAATTTTTTTAAATTTGATAATCTAATTAGAATAGTTAAGGATTATTATTAATAATAGACTTTTTTTAGCTTTTATATAATAATAGATATCTATTTTAAGCTTTTAAAAATCTAGATCTAAGAATTCTATAAAATAAGTTTATCTTTTTTAAGATTTTATTTTACGCTTTCGATTTATTATACGTATTTTCTCTTTTAAAGAATTATTAGAAAGATAATTAGAATATTAATTAGGCCGCTTATTTTTAGAATACTATTTATTTTATATTTATATTTAAAAAGATATAGTAATAAATATAGATATTTTTAATTAAGAATTTTTATTAATAAACTCTTAACTAGTTACTTAGTTTTTTAATTCTAAAAAAATATTAGATTAGCTAGAAGGTTTTAAAAGCGATAAATTAGAAAATTCTTAAAATAGTTAATTAGAAAGTTTTAAAGATATTTAATTAGAAAGTTCTTAAAGTAGTTAATTAGAAAGTTCTAGAGATATTTAGTTAGAAAGTTCTAGAAGTAATTAATTAGAAAGTTTTAGAGATAATTAGCTAGAAAGTTCTAGAAATAATAAATTATAAAGTTCTAAAAGTAGTTAGCTAGTAGATTTAGATAATAGTTTATTAATAAATCTAATTATATTAGAAGAAGAAGAGATAGACTTTACTATAAAAGAAGTTTAAGATTAGAAATTTTTAGTATATAATAAGAATAGTAATATTATAATCTAGCGGTAAATTTTATAACGAATTTATATAAATTTATTAATTTTAATATATAAATAATTAGTATAATTAGAAGAAGAAGGAATAACTCTTATAAGTTTAATTATTATAATAAGAAAGAATTTAGATATAATCTTCTCTTTTCTAATTATTATTCTAATTATCTAACTTTTTAAATTAGATAAACTTAAGAATATATTAAAAAGAATAAAGAGTTAATATATATATTCGATAACGATATATCTAGCGATAATGATAATACTTTATTTTAAGATTAGACTATCTCTTAATCTCGAGATATTATCTATAAGAGTAGAAATTTTAATAATATATATAATAAAAATATTAAAATTATAATAGTTAAAGAATGTCTATTTACGCGTAAATTATTAAAAAAGAATAAATATAATAAGAAACTTAGAAAGAGGAGATCTAATATATTTCTCGCGGCGGTTATAATAGATGAAATAGTATTTTAAATATTATTAATAGTAAAAGTAGCTAGAAAGTCGAGTAATAAAACTTTTAGAAAATCTATTATAAGCGAGAAAGGTATAGATAAGAGAAAAAGCGTTATTAATTATATATTTAAAATAAGAAAATTATATAGATTTTATCTAGATAGTAAATTTAATCTTATATATATTTTTAATTATCTTTCTAATTATAGTCTACTAGCTATCGCCCTTCGCGAAATTAAATACTTTTAGAAATTAATTATACTATCAGTATATATAATAGAATAAGGTAGGGCTGAACTAGAAAACCTTGAATTTGTATGTGCAGCCAATCATCAATTCGTCAGGTCTACGCTTTTTGGTTAGACACCGCGGGTAAACAAATTAGCGTCCGCAACCATCAAAAATCTACAAAAATCTATGTGCAGAAGTCTTATCCTCTGAAATAACCAGCTCCCTACGGATGCTGTTTCTTCATAATTTGGTAAATTGTAGAGCTCAGTGTGCGCTTTCTAAAGCTGTAAAAATATTGAAGTTTGGCCTACTATTGGTGGGTTAAACTGACATTCAAATATCGTAGTCACACCAAATGCGTCCGGGACGGGATCGGATAATAATCCTTCCACCTGTTTGTGTAACCATTCTTCTTCTACAATTCTACCAATCCACCAATTATGAATAAATTCGCCCTCGATACCCCTCGCCCAAATGTTGCTAAGTATCTAAGGCACGTATCCCTTCCGCCCGTCTTTTGAACCCCTTACTAACGCCCTCAGGCCACCCCTCGGCGAATCCGCTACTACTAGCAATCGAGGCCGCAGCCCAACAGCTACCTACTACTACTCATAAACGCGTTAGAAGGCCCTCAAAAAGAGCCCGAACGGATACGTCCTCCCCTACATACTCCTCCCAAGCCAGCGATAGGTGGGTTAAACTGACATTCAAATATTGTAATCACACCAAACGCGTCCGGGATCGGATAATAATCCTTCCACCTATTTGGGTAACCATTCTTCTTCCACCATTCTACCAATTCTACCAATTCCACCAATATGAACACATTTACCCTCGGTACCCTCGCACTCAGTTAAACAAGAGGAGGATCTACAACAGGCGAATGCGGAGAACACTGCGGAGAACACTGCGGAGAACACTGCGGAGAACATTGCGGAGACAGTTATCAGCAGCAGTGACACAACAGGCCTACTCTCCACGGTCTCACACCAATCCACTCAGCCAGTGCAAGAGAAGTCAATACAGTAGGCGAATGCGGAGAACACTGCGGAGAAACCAAGCGGCAACAAGGCCCCCAGCACCAAGAACACGGCTCAGCTCTCCAAGATCCCACGTCATATACTCTCCACGGTTCCACATCAAATCATCACTCAGCAAGCGGAGAACACCACTGCAACTTAGCCTATCATCCCCACTGCATTAAGGAGTAAGAGGAGGAACTACAACAGGCAAATGCGGAGAACACTACGGAGAAACCAAGCGGCAACAAGGCCACCATCGTCAAGAACACGGCTCAGCTCTCCAAGATCCCACGTCATATCAGTCATCCACTCAGTCAGCCACTCAGCTAGCCACTCAGTCTGATACTCTACAGGAGGAGGAGCAAGAGGAGGAACTACAACAGGCGAATGCGGAGAACACTGCGGAGAACATTGCGGAGATAGTCATCAGCAGCAGTGACACAATAGGCCTACTCTCCACAGTCTCACACCAATCCACTCAGCCAGTGTAAGAGAAATCAATACAGCAGGCGAATGCGGAGAACACTACGGAGAAACCAAGCGGCAACAAGGCCCCCAGCACCAAGAACACGGCTCAGCTCTCCAAGATCCCACGTCATATACTCTCCACGGTTCCACATCAAATCATCACTCAGCAAGCGGAGAACACCATTGTAACTTAGCCTGTCATCTCCACTGCATTAAGGAGTAAGAGGAGGAACTACAATAGGCAAATGCGGAGAACACTGCGGAGAACACTATGGAGAACAC